ATGATATCGAAAAAAAAATCAGAAAAAAAAAGAAAAAAAAATTGATAGAATCACAAATCCTGCTAGGTAGCGGTCGTAATATCATAGCAAGAAATGAAAAAGTTCTCGTCTGCTTATCGTAATGCGGCTAATGTATCCCTATCGCTGTATTTACCACCCACTTTTGTCACCCTACACTACCATCCCGTATTATCGAATGAAACATACTGAACAGTCAAAGCTGCATCGTAAACACCGAAGAAGTCAGGATTTTGATCGCTGGGAGGCCTCTCTTATTGTCAGGTCCCTTATCTTCTCTTAGCAGTTACTATCAGTTCCTGTCACCGAGTGCCCAGATCTCGTCATATCCTATATCGATTATCAAAATGCCGAGGTTTCACTGGTAATACGAAAAGTGTAATCCTACCAAATTTGAACGGTCTAGGTCCACATAAACAGGCGTTGTGAATTTGCGGTACAAAATTTCTATCGCGCACGTCCCGCCCCTGTGAACGGGGACAGGTCCTGCCATCACCTTAAGTGCTTTCATCCTGCCTTCTGTACTCCTACCGAATTTGAATGCTCTGCGGATAGTGTTCTCCATTATATTTCTCATAATGATGGTTTTCCGCAATACAGCTATAATAGAAATTTTTTACAGGATAAAGTCAGGATCAGTAAAAAAGAAAATGCACCAAAGATTTCAAAGACAACTGCTGGACCTTTAGTCTATAGAGAAATGACAAATGATTCTGTTTGCCGTCTTTTACCGACAGTTTACATCGTACGCAACTTATTAATGGTTCGTTGAAAATTTTCATTGGAAAGGATATATTATTCTTTGCGGTATAGCCATCACCAACAATATATTGAGCCAACGCTATAGCTCATGCCGAAAAAATTGCTATTTTTCCTTACATATTTTCATGTAATACTTCATTGAATGGAACTCGCTAGGTATTTCGTCATCACGAGTGCGTGACCTGTGAATGATACTCTTCACCACACTAGCTATCACTCACCCACCCTGCACATACAGACGACAGTGTCGCACAACTTCCACTGTGACAGGACGTACCTGCGCCACAGCCTGGTTTTGCTTCCTTTGCTTTCAACTGGAATGCAAAGAAAGCCCATAACAAGATAGTGGATACATGCGGCGCACATGCAAGTCTTGGTTCGAGGCTTTGCTCGAAACGAGACTGAGTCTTCTGATGGAGTTGGATCTGAAAGTACTATGTTCCACCAGAGGACCCGTAGCTAACCTCCAGGGGGAAGGCGACCATCCTTGGCTATAATCAACCGACCATTGTTCGCGGACTGGACCAGCTCGGCAAGGTAACAAACCTTGGTCGATAGGTCCTACATGAACTATCCGCTTATGAGCTCTCAAGGAGGGAGGCCACCTGCACTTCCCTCCTCACTTCCAAAAGAAGCTCCATCCTCTCAACTCGATGGTCACGGGTGATGAGAGGTGGGCTCCGATAACTCTGTGGGGAAGCGGCAGTGGGTCGACAAAGGAGAACAGCTATGAGCCATCCCAAAGGTCGATCTTTACCCCAAAAAAAGTTCTTCTGTCCTGTTGGTGGTCCATAAGAGGCACGAAACCTGGGAGCTGCTGGAGAAAGGACAGACGATTAACGCTTCTACATACGTTACGCAGCTATGGAAATATAAACATCATGTCGACCGTACTTGTGGATCGAATGCGGGAATCTATTTCCACCATAACAACGCCCGACCTCATACCGCAAAGGCGACCGAGGCCGAGCTGGAGAAGTACGGATGAACAGCTGTAGGGAGGTGATTGTCGCTCAAGCCCCCTACATCCCTGACTTCGCTCTTTCCGACTACAGGCTGTTCAGCCACCTGCAGCACATTCTGGACGGAAAAAAGTTTGAAGCAGAAGGGGATGTCAGAATGGCACTCGACGACTTCTTCAAGTTCCAGTCCCCGTCCTTTTGGGAGGGAGGAATCGACAATCTGCCTGAGGGTTGGCGTCGAGTAGTGTATGGTGATGGTGCACACCTCTATTCTTCAGGCTGGTTCGCTAATTGATTTGATTTTATTACTTGAGCGCTATACCCATGTGGAGAGCCACAGAAAAACAAATGATAGTAAAGCACACGGAACAGATTTCGGTACTATCCTACTTTATATAATTCGCTAAGTGTGTCTGTTGGTGTGTCGGAGTGTTTGTGTGGTTTGTTTGTGTGTGTGTGTCGGTGTGTGTGTCTGACCGGAAATTCATA